CGCAATCACGCATACCTCGTAGGATGAGCACGAACGCAAAGACTCAGGACAAAAAGGTAAAAATGGCGGATGGACAAACACGGGTAACACCATTAACGAACGAACAGTTCGCTATGCTCATACAACAGATACAGATATCTGCTGCGAACGCGCCGGTCGCAAACATCGTGCAACCACAAGGCAATTTCTCGCGATGTACCTCCCGCTTCGATGGAAACAAATCGTCCGATGTAGAGGCTTTTATCGACGCGATCAGTACGTACAAAGAGTGTACTAACATATCCAATGAAAACGCGCTGAAAGGATTACTGATCCTTCTCACAGATCTCGCCGCGACATGGTGGCAGGGCGTTAAAGGCACCGTCAATACGTGGGATACCGCAATAGAAATATTGAGACAAGCGTACGGCCCGAAAAAAGCAGCTCATCGCGTATACAAAGAACTTTTTTCGTGCGAGTAAGGAGAAGACGTATCGACAGACGTATTTGTGTGCAAAGCGCGCACGCTACTCGCGAAGCTCCCATACGACGAGCCATTGCCAGAAAACATTCAGCTCGACATGGTTTACGGGTTGCTAGCGCATAAAATCCGAAAGGAGATACCACGTGAAAAAGCCACGTCCTTCGCGGAATTAGTGGATCTCGCGCGCGAAGTCGAAGAAATTAAAGCGGAAGAAGACGTAACACCCAAACAGCAAACATCGTCGCGCAAACACGAAAATCGCCCACGCTGTAAATTTTGCAAGAATTTCGGACACACTACGGACGAATGTAGAAGCTTAAAAAAAAAAGAACGAGGAAAACCCAAACGCATCAAATAAAAAAAATAAAGACACTACTTCCAACGTCACACAAGCAAACGACCAACGAGCCCTACCCACCGTAACGTGTTTCGGTTGCGGAAACCCCGGGTATCTTCGTAAAAATTGCCCAAAGTGCAACAACGCCGATGAGAATCACAAGAGAGAAGAAAAGTCCGATTTTTGCCTCGTGGACGCAGCGGAAATACGAGCGACTTATAGGAAACGCCCAATTCTCAACGTGGAAATATCAGGCGCAAAAGGAACGGGATTAATTGACACGGCCGCGAAGATGAGTGTCGCCGGACACTCTCTTTATAAAATACTCGTTGAAAAAGGACAAAAATTCGAAAAATCAAACTTACGCATTGGATTGGCCGATGGTACGCGTAGCGAAGAAACCGTGTGAGTTACCAAAGTCGCCATTCACGTAGAAAATCGTACGATTAACACCACACTTCTAGCGATGCCGCATGCTTATAACCATTATACATTACTCGGCATGGATTTTATTGAAGAAGCCAACATCGTAATAAATATACCTCAACGTATATGGTATTTTGCAGACAATTATAAGCCACACGAACTGAAGTTCGAAGGGATCACTGAAACAACCGGCATTGTGCAGCTGAATAGCGTCAACGCGTTAAGAAGCGACGAAGCACCGGCTCTATCTCCAGAACAACGTAAGAAACTTGACGCAATATTGGTAGATAACGAAGACATCTTCGCACCAGGGGGAGATCATATACCGTATGCTGAACACACGACTGATACCGGCGATAGCACGCCGACAGCCACTCACCCCTATAAAATGTTGCAACAAAAGAAGGAAATCCTAGAGAAGGAATTGAACGCCATGCTGGAAGCTGACATCATCGAAGAATGCGAATCCCCATGGGCCGCTCCAGTAGTGCTCGTACCCAAAAAAGACGGCGCGGTACGAGTCTGCGTCGATTACCGACGTCTAAATGCCGTGACTAAGACGGACCCTTACCCGATGCCCAGGATCGATGAATTGTTGCACCTCGCGAAGAGAACACTTTTTATGTCAACCATCGACCTTCGCTCAGGTTATTGGCAAGTAAACGTAAGGCCCTCAGATCGGGATAAAACGGCTTTTACGACACCTTTTGGCACCTTCCGCTTCAAACGAATGCCTTTCGGCTTGAAGAACTCCGGTGCCACCTTTCAACGACTGATGGACCAATTCCGAAGAGGTCTAAAGGATACCACAGTGTTAATATACCTAGACGACATAATCGTCATTTCGGACAGCTTTGACGAGCACATAAAAGATCTGAAGAAAATCTTCAATCGCCTACGCGACTTTAAATTACGCGCCAACCGTCAGAAGTGCAATTTCGCGCGCGCACAAGTAAGATTCTTAGGCCATACAATCACCGCCGAAGGAATCCAACCAAATGACGACAAGATAACAGCCATATTAAGTCTCGCCCCGCCGAGAAATATAAAGCATCTACTCACGTTCCTGCAAACGGCTTCATGGTTTCGAAGATTCATTCCTAACTTCGCAGAAATCGCCAGGCCATTGACACTCCTCACAAAAAAAAATACTTTTGGATATGGAATCAGGAACAAGAAAATGCCTTTACGGGACTAAAAAAGGCCCTTACTCAAGCTCCCATTCTCAGGCAAGCAGATGACCAGTTACCGTTTATCATACGAACGGACGCCAGCAACTACGCAATTGGAGCGATCCTCGCCCAAGGAGAAGGAACCGATGAGAGACCGGTGGAATACGCCAGTCGTTTATTAACCACAGCCAAGCGCAACTATTCGACCACAGAACGCGAAGCCCTCGCTATAGTATGGGCCGTGGCAAAATTCAGAGGTTACATCGACGGCGCCCGAATTACAATAGGCACAGACCACCAACCGCTGAAATGGTTAATGAGTCTAAAATCGCCATCGGGCCGATTACCCCGTTGGGCACTAAGTCTCCAAGAATACGACCTGCACATCATATATGCACCCGGAAAAATGAACGTAGTTGCTGACACGCTGTCAAGACCACCGTGTAAACACGAGGACCAACACGATTGTGGGGTATGCACAGTCACCATCGATTTGCCTTCAGACGGAGCCGCCAAATTGAGAGAAGAACAGTTATCAGATCCGGAGGTCAGAAAAATCATAGACGCGTTTGAAACGAAAGACGACCTCAACATTGCAAATTGGACATCCCGAGGATATATAATGTCAAACGGTGTACTATATCGATACACACCCACCGAAGATAATGAAGAAGCTCAGTGAGTCGTACCGAAATGCGCTATAAAACATATTTTGTACGAGAATCATGATTCACCAACAGGACATTATGGTGTAGAAAGAACGCTTAAACGAATTTCTGGTAAATACTATTGGCCAAGAATGCGCAGGACAGTAGCCGATCACATTAAAAAATGCATAGAATGCGAAAGATATAAACCATCCAATATGAAACCCGCCGGTCTGCTAAGGACCCCAGCAGCAGCAAGAAGGTTCGGAACATTGGCAATAGATTTATTCGGACCACTGCCAATCACAGTCGAGGGATATCAATGGATATTTATTATCGAAGACGTCGCCACAAAATGGGTGGAGCTATTCCCGCTAAAACGCGCCACAGCGGACGTCTGCGCAAAAACGTTAATAGACGAAGTCATGCTCAGATATGAAATCCCGCGCCGTGTAATATCAGATAACGGACCTCAATTCGTCGGAGCCGTAATGCAACAAGTATCGTATTGCCTAGGGTTCGACCAGTCTCTGACTCCGGTTTACCATCCGGAAGTAAACCCCGTAGAACGGAAAAATAGAGACATGAAGGTACAGCTGTCAATCTTAGTAAGAAACTCTCACACCGAATGGGCCAACAAACTACCGTCAATTAGATACGCCATGAATACCAGCACGTCGCAGTCGACCAAAAACACGCCAGCGTTTCTTACGTTCGCAAGAGAGATGCGTGATTCAGGAGAAATACGAGACTTACGCGAAATCATCATCGGAGAAAACTTTGTTTCAGAAATCACCTCGTATCTATTGAAAATAGCCGATACCATGAAAGAGGTAACCGAAACACATGAACAAGAACAAGACAGGCACAAATCATACGCGGATTCGACCAGACGACCAGCGCAGATATTCCAAGAAGGTGACCAAGTTATGGTCAAGACACGAACATTAAGCAACATGCCACAGGGCATCACTTCCAAATTTGCACCTAAAAGAGACGGACCTTACAGAATCGCCAAGCGCATATCACCCACCAGCTATCAAGTAGCACATAATGTAACCGGTAATCTGCTCTCTGTTTATCATGTTTCTGATTTAGATATCTGGAAGGGCGACACGACGGAAAGACCTTCCCATCAACCGGTTAGGACCATCAGAAAGCGGGGCCGACCCAAAAAAAACGCAGACCCGACAACGCCTTCACATTGGATCTTCGTCGAGGACGACTAACAGATCCAAAGGGGGAGTCTGTAACGTGAAGGTCCCTGTAACGCGTGCAAAGACCCTAGCCGCGAGGAGCCGCTGATCGGATAAGAAGTTACGAAGAAGATAGGCAGGCGGCGCAGTAGTAGAAAAATGGAGACATGTTAAGACGAACGCATTGTAAGACGCGCGATACGAAGAAGACTGAGAATATATGTATCTTTTACCTGTCGTCTTGCGAGTCTAGTAATTCCGAGTGTAAAACCCTTCTTGTCAAACCTCGTCCCGGTGACTTCCCCGAAGATCCGCGAAACTCACAACCACGAAAAGCGTAGCGAAAACAAACGTTACAGTCTTAATTAATGATTCAAATTCTAATTTAAATTCGGTTAATCAAACTTTTCGATTCTCAATAGATTCATTAATTCTCATTAACTCTCGTTAATTAATTACATCTCAATTAATTCTTCAATTCTATAATTCATTTACTTAATCGGGTATTTCGAACACTCACTGACCTTACAAAGTTTTATTTTACAACGGTTATGCTACAGCGGTATCGCGTCGTATCGCGTTACATGCACGAACGTGTCACATCAAGTTTAGTCGCGTACGATCTTATCTTATAATGCAATAACAAAGGACCGGATGGGTCTGTTGGCAAGTCGTATAGTTCGAGAACTACTGCTGTTCCACGACTCTCGAGTAACGAGAGTCTTAATTATAATACCTTAATATCTGAAGTGCAGCTTCTTACTCTGGCAGCTGTAGCTCCGTGCGAACCTTCGCGTCCTGGGACCGTTGGGCCAATAGCACGGAGCTACGCTGCATATGCGTTTTTGTAGGCAAGCGCCCCGTAGTGGGGACGGGTCCGCGCCTACGCGCTTCGGTCAAAAGTAGTGGGGCGCGTTAGGCTTCTCGGAATTAAAAATATGACATATTTACGATCGGTACGTTCCTAGAATTAATAATGCGATCGTTAATTCTTGGAAGTCTTTCTAGCGATTCTTCCTTTCTTTCTTTCTTTTAAGGTTCTCCTTGTTTGCCGTCGGAAAGAATTTAGAAGCTTCCTACATTATTCGAGAATATTCTAGATCGTTCTAGAATATTTTAGAATAATTCTTAATCTAGCATAAATGTAGCTTAAGAAATACATGCAATGTAAGATGCGGATAGAAAGTCGATTTTATATGCTAGAATCTTAGTAGAATAAA